GCAAACATAACTTCTGCAGTGGGAGGCAGCATAACATCCTCAGTAGGAGGACACATGACGGCATCAGCAAGAGGCAATTTGACATCGATGGCGAGCAATATGACCTCGACGAGAGCATTGAATGTTTCGTCTTCAACTTCAAGCATGGCTATGGACATCACGTCTGCTCCCGTGTTGAATATGACGACTTCGACATCTGCTACGATCTGTGCTTCGTCTCCTACATGTACAGCTTGTCCTGCAGCAAAGACGGAGACATGTACGGTTACGGAGACATGGCATAGTACTCACTACGAGTCCACTGCCACGCTCTTCAGTTTCATTGCTGCTTTCACATACACATGTACTGAAACCATCAGGTACGTCTGCCTCCTCCTATCTCAAAGCCTGCTAACTTTGCAGTGTTTGTCCAAAATCAAGCCTCTACCCCCTCGCACCACCAAGTATAACCTCTCCCTCTCCAACGAATCCACCTCTGATAGCTTGCCCCGACGGAGTCTCAGCAAAACGAGGAGAAGACTGTCTACCAATAAGCCCATCCAAGGAATCATCACCGAGCTTATACCCCGACAAAGGAGAATCAGCACATCCATGTCCAAACGCTGGATACTCGTGCTCGGAATGTCCAAATGGCGTTTTCTGCCCTCCAACACCGACATCAGCACAGACTTGCCCTTGTGGATGGGGGTGGGCGTGTGGTCATTGTTCTCAAGGATGGTTTTGTGTACCGAGTCCTACCTCTGTGTCTAGAAGCTCTCTACTCAGTACTGCGGCTGCAATCAGTGGGAATGGCTCTGCTTCTGCGTGAGCCACAAACCCAACTCTACTTGGAGCACTTAACTAATGGAACGCAGATCCCAAGCCACCGCTCTGACTTCTGCCCCTTCAACAATGCCAAGCTTTACAGCTAATCTCCCAACCCTCCCCTTTGCAGCCTCAGCACTCACCACAAGTTTGGGATCAGTATCAGGTCTAGTCCCAGCCTCTTTTCCTTCCACCGGGCCGTTGAATCAAGCTACAAGCATTGTTGGAAATCTTGCAGGGAACATCATCAATAATGTCAATTCAGCACTCGGGAATATCGATGGCCTCTCGGGAGCTATCTTGAACTCTGTGATAGGACAGCTTTCTTCTGTGCTTGGATCAAACTTTCCTTCCGTCACCGGGGCTACAGGAGGACTTATACCATCAGTTACAAGTCTTGCCGGCGGAGTCATTTCGAACGGCGCTGCAGCTGTCAGCAACCTTCCTGCTGGTGGTTTGATACCATCAGTTACGAGTCTTGCTGGCGGAGTCATTTCGAATGGCGTTGTGGCTGTCAGTAACCTTCCTGCTGGTGGTTTGATACCTATAGTGACGGGAATCGCCGGTAATATCCTTTCAAACGTTCCTGGAGTTGTCGGAAATCCGGCTACTGCTGGAGGCATACTCTCGGGGGGCGCCAGTGGTTTGCCGGCTGGCATACCTATAGCTACACCAGCTGTGATCTTCAGACCTGCAATCACTCCGCCGATTGTTGGTGGTTTGCTGCCCATCTTGGCGAAGGTGGTAAATGCGCCGATTACAAGGAGTGTGATTCCTCAGCCTTTGGTCAATTCAGACACCCAATCCTCCACGACTACGGAAGATGAAGGTCCGAATGTGATCAGCCACCTCACGACAACAATCCAGGGCACACCTACAGTCTTGCCAGTCGTCATCACGCTTTTGAATGGGAAACCAACTGTTGTACCGCTTGTGAAAATGATTGTTGATGGGAAAGAAAAAGACTTGCCTATTGTGGGTATGGACTTGGGGAAAGTCAAGGCTGCCAAAGATGTTCTTGATGGGGATGGTAGAGGAGAGGGTGCAGAGCAAATCGGGTCTAATGAATGGGGAGGAGATGTCGTGGGGAAGAAGAGACGAGGGAGGGCAATACCGTGAGAGATTGAACGTGTGAAGGGAGGTATTACGTATGATCGGATATGAGTTATGAGACTTATTCTCTCGATGGTCTAACAATTTTGGCAGCCAAGTCATTTCGTAATACGGATAGCAACTTTGAGTATACATAGGGTGGGGGATTTTTGGAAGTGCCAAAGTGGCGTGTATCATAGCCAGGTTTTGGTAGATGGGAAAAAATGTTATTTATTTGAATTCCGTTGCTTTGGATATCTGGTGTGAGACGAGTATATGCCTGAGATAAGTATGTGAGTTTCACAGTTTATAAAGCTCCTTTCAAGGATCTGATGTGATGCAAATCACTGCGCGGCCCAGGGTTCTGCGTGTATGTCAAGTGATGGGATGGTGTGTTTAGACAGCTCGGATCTTGTATTTCGGAGAGTGAATTCGAGAGATACTGTACGATAGAAAGAAGACAGGGAGTTCATGAGTGTTGTGTGAATGTAGAGAAAGCTATCTTGCTATTGCTTAGCAGGGAAACTCGCAAAGCAGGAATCGCGGCTGTGAAGTGTTGGGTGATGGAATGGTGTCGAAGCTATACCTTGAACCAGACTTGATTTACAGAACTGCGGAGTTTATGCATAGATTTTGTGAATTCAGCTTTTGTCGTAATTTTTAATGGAAGGTTAGTGGAGTATCCGAGGCGTATGGGATTGGATTGGATTGTTGGGAATATGTTTCGTGGAGAGCTGTTGAAGTGCGGCGCACTGGAGGATGATGCGTGGTGTTTTGTGGCGCGGTGGATGTACGAAGTTGATCAGGATTGGGCAAGAATGAAGATTTGGGAATGTGATACTTTGCCCTGGGACTCTCGAGGACTTGATTGGTTTGTTCTCTGATACCGGGTCATGTCGATTGGAGTCACATAGGTTGGGACAATGATGACGGCTTTAGTATTGATGATCGTAACTAATGAGTAAGAAAAAGAAGTTGATTTTTCGGAGGGATGAGAAGAGTCCATGTCTTGAGTTAACTGACGGGTCATCTTCCCCCACGTCGTTCTACTTGAGAATGTGTTAAGATGTGAGATTGAGCCATTCCATCCACAAACACCACGAGGTTTGTTCTCGCTGTCTTCGAGGAAGACATGATTCACAGAGCTGTTTTCGATATAATTGTCTTGGTGGTAGCTATACTCAGAAAGAAGCTCGTCAAGGCTTAGGGCTGTCTATACAGAACTCACGCAAAGGCAGTGAATGGATCTCGAGTCTTGATACATGTGAAATCTACGACGAACGGTCGAAGAAGCTTCATCTATAAACATGCGGACTTGAGCAATCTATAGTCAGGTATATCTCCGACAGTTGCAGAATTGCCAATCATCCAGACCACTCACTTTCAAGACATCGTATTCTGCATGACACAAGGAATGTGTTCCGTAACTTATACTGTCGATGTCCTCACATGGGGGATGATCAATAATTCTCAAGATTACTGCTCCTTGCAACAACAATTTGCTCCCCGAACTTCGAATAAGTGATAGCGAACCTGTTATTGACAATACTGACAATTTAGCAAAATCTCGGTCTTCTGAGTGGGATCGAGATCACGAGTCACAGAATGAGCTGAAGCTACCTCTCTCCCAAAAAAAGACCTCCTGTAATCCTTACTCCTTAGACGAGAAGATTCGCTCTTGCTTAATATTGTAATGTTCCGGCAGCGAGGGAAAGTGGTGGGGGGGGGAGTAAGAGGAGAGATCATTAATCCGATGCTGCAAGAGCTTCATGCCGAATTCTAAACCGCCGACGTACTCTGTCAACGGGTTTAGCAGATCGAAAAACTTGATTACATGGACTTTGATTTGTATGTTCTTATTATATCCTGACTCTTGATAATACTAGCATAAGCTTCGGCCTTTGCATACATACGATCTCCTGAAAAAAGGTCACTGATGGATAGATCGGTTAGATAGTAGTCCAGTCTCAACCACGCAAACCACGCAAACTGCTCTGCCTATGACAGCGAAGACGGTGCAAAAGCAAGGCAGTAAATTGTCACGTAAGAAGTGAGCTCACACATACGACCATAGACTGGTGAGAACTGGGCATCCCGTCCGCTCTGCCATACACAAGCACCAGATCGGCAGATTAGTAGTTGGGTGGGTGACCACCAGCGAATACCTGCTGTTGTATGTTTTTGTTTTTAATCTCTGAAAGCATTTTATATAACTTTATAAAGAGATTATTTGAATAGTAGGCCTTTTTCGAACGCAAGTCTGAGAAGATAGATGAATGACTTGATTGAAGAGAATGAAAAATGTTCGCTTTATGAATCCTATAACGCTATTCATGAACATCTTTGCTTTTTGATCTATATCTACCTTATGTAGATTTGCGAGTTTTGACTTGGGTTAAATCTCGATGTTCGTGGATTTACTTTCACGCTTCAGACATATACGTATATGTTCAAAGATTTTGATCCAGAAAATAGAAAGTCGTAGTATTTTCTATCGATTGAAGTTTTGATGCGAGCTCAGCTTAATTGTGAAACATTCCGATTCGATGAAAGAGTATGCTCAGATAGCACTTTCGTCAGCCTTGAAGACTGACTCGATATCTTAGCTTTTAGAAGAGCCGTTCAAGTCGACGAATCTTTCTCTTAAGGGTCCTTCCATTAGTATCCTTCTAATCGATAACGTGACGCTCTCTACTGGCAGACCTCTCAAGAGGCTAATCTTATCATTAATCGTTTTCTTTCTCGGACTTATATTACTATTGTAAGCTAAGCATTTCTATAATATTATTCGTAGCATAATAGACACGAGTGGCTTCGAGTTAAGCGTAGATACTTAATAAATATAATATATCGCTAGACGAGATGGAATTGCTTTACACTAAAGAGAAAAATATCGGTTCCTTTCTGCTCTATTAATATTGTTTAGCGATCGCTTCGTCGCTTTTTCGCTTACGACTTCTTACATTAATGCAGGCTTCGTGGAACTAGCAAAACCCAAAATTATATATACTATTTATAATTAATTGTCTATCATAAGAACTAAAATCTTGTTGATTAATAACCGAGATCGGAAATTGCAAAAAAGAGAGTCATTTTCACTAACAAGCACCCTAACTGGATCGAACAGCTGACCTGAGGAGATTTAGCAGTAGCTGCAATCCTCCGCTCTACCACTGAGCTAAGTGTGCTAGATGCTGCTGCATGTCTTACTTAAATATATATTCATAGTGCTATACTTCACCCTCGTTCAGTTCCTTTGACATAATTATTCAATAGCAACTCATATAGCAGCTACACTCAACGCAACGAGCCCATTTTAGCAGTCTATATTATATTTAGCCTATCAGCATGGATATCAATCAGCGGTAGATCTCAGCTAAGTATTTATTAGTCTATAGTTCCAGGTCTTTAGTCTACTATTATTTGGTTTTCGAGCGCTTTGTTTTCGGCTCTTCGATCTATCAGCCTTTTGTGTATAATGAACCCTTCCCTCATCGGGGCGCGGCCCTTTCCCTTCGCGTCTTTGTTCTATGAAATAATTCACCACTTTTGTACAGAATTGATCAACGAGAATTACCTCGAAAGCTATTCATTGGAACATCTGACTGTAACGACCCAATCACTTGAGTAGTTTTTCCAACTCACTTGCAGCTAGGAATGAGATCTAGTAGTGTCACATGTCACGCTTGCAACGACCCAAATTTCCATATTAAAATTGCGTATTTTCTTCAACATATGGAATGTCGGCGATACCCGATCCTCAAAGTCCTTTGTTTTGCTTCTATTGTCATTTTCAACCCGTATTTCTCATCTGATCGACGAAAAATTCCCAGATCAGTTCTCGGGTACAAAAAGTCAAGCATTCCTCCCTTTCATTCCCATCGATTACAAAGATGCTTCATGACACAACTCGCAAGAACAATTTGCCCATACACTGCATATCGTATCTTTTGGAATGCTCTGGTCATCTCTTGTACCTCAAGATATCTTGGTGTTTCAGTACTTCCTACGGAATTTTATTTTCTTCTCAGCATGGATGCAAGGTAAACTTGTAATTCGACAGACGATGCTTTGGAAAATGCTCATGGCGGACTTCGAAAATCGATTAACAATTGCAAGCATGCCCCTTCTTCCATCGGTGGTTTAAAGACACGCTTTCTTCTCAATTCCGTGTATTTTTAGCTCAAGTGGAGATGTAGCTGTGGGAGTGTTTCTCTGGCGGCTTACTAGCTTAGTGAGACAAAAAAATCCCTGTACTCACTCATGAATAGAGCTATGTATCGAATCTCAGGTACTCAATTTCGAATGGCAATTTGGATAGGCACCTGTAGAAGAATATTATCCATAGACTTCAGGAATCGCTATTGAAATCTTTGTTGTCAACAGAATGTTCTATGCGAAACTCTCTTGCCTGTTAAAAACCCTCAATTGACCAAAGTATCAAAATAGATTCATCCCATCCATCTACAGCAGATTTAGTAGAAGTCATCGCACGCAACACATCATTTTCTCTCTTTTTGCAGGGCTAAGGAGACCGCCTCGGCAGTCCGTAAGATGAAAGCGAAAGCGTACAGGCACTCTTGACTATTTGTCCGGATCAGGAGCTAAGTAGTCAAATAGGTACAGCATCGCCGCCTTCAAGAGGTGAAGTTAGCCGCTGCTAATCATAAAGATAATACAATAAGCTTAGTCTAACAACATCTGGTCAGGAAGCTTACGACCTTACGTGTTAATTTGGCAACAACTTCACCTGATCCGTATTAGTAGTCGAAGTGATACATCGTGAGAAGACACATAAATCTTGCCGAGTACATGGATTGTGCAATGCCAAAGCAATGAACGTTAAATGAACCAAATTCTGGGCACTTATCGAGTCCTGAATACAAGAAAGGTCGCATCCGTGCATGAAATAGAGAGAACTGACCAACAATATAATCTTACATACCAGACACCGAAATAGCTAAGCACGCCACGGAGTCTCGCATAGACGGAGATCTATGACTAGTTGCCTGTTACCCCTGTCTGTGGAAGTGAACCCGTGAAAGCCGAGACTGTTCCAAGAGAATAGTTTCCCCTTCTTCATCTTCTCCACGGCTGCATATGATAATTGTGCTACTGCAAGGTCGTTGACGGTAGAATGAAACAAGTGGCAGGGTTCGTTCTGGCCTGTGAGAAGAGTCTCTATATTGCGTAACAACCCGATGATACGGGCTAAAGTCTCTGAAGTACACGCCGGCGACATTGCTTTTATGTTCGACCAGAAGCACCATAATAGCTCAGCGAGCAGCCGGATATCGGACGGCTTTACTCGGGCGGTGGGCAGCAGATCGGACGTCCCTCACTGATATAGAAAGTTCCGGATGGGCAGCCAAAGGTAAAGCCTCCTTCCGTGCATCAGCATCAGAATGGCCTCCAGAAAAGAAAGCATCATGCCAGAGGTTGAAGTGACAGCGCGAGACTCTTACGAAAGCGGTAATCTGGTGATGACAAATATGTAATGTACAAAGTACTCCCATATAGTCGGTGTGCAGAAATTCATCTGGTTGTAGCTGAAGTGCCGCCACCTATTGCGCCATATTTTATGGAACGGCAAGATAAAACAAAAAGCCTCAGATTTTCTAAGCTTGTGTTTGGATGCTGAGAGGCGAGCGGAGGCTTTCGGTGGCTCTGAACTTTTCGTCGGATGAAGATAACAGGGAAGAACCATGCCAATAATACTGTATCGCTCTCTTCATCCCGGGCAGATATCTCTCGAAGAAATATTTGTCCCTGAATGTGTCATTGAGATACTTATACTAAGATAGCATTCTAAATCGACGCCATATCAAGGGATTCTCCCGAGCAGGGCCAGACATTGGCATAGGCGATCCTGTGAAAGATATTGCTTTTAACTTAGCTAGACTTGAACTCACAAGGGCCTCTTGGGAATTGAAGGTTGATTGTGCTGTCAGGGAGCAATATCGCGCCAGCTGTAGTCTAGATGAAGGGACTCTGCTACAGTCCGATGAAAAATTGCTTCTTTTTTGTCGTATCTTGTCAGAGATCTGTCTGACTCTCCCTCGCGTTTGACTGATGTCGCTTCAGTGAGCCCACAACAACGACTTCGCAACCGACCCTCAACAGATTCGCATAGCCATTTCTCGGCCTCTGGTGCCAGATTACCAATAGGGGATTTCAATGACACTGTGTATTTATCTGCTTCTGCGAACGAGGACTGGAGTAGGTGAAGATCGATCTTATTGCCCATGCTGAAAAGGACCAGCTGCAAATACTTGGATCCCAGCACGCTGTGCGCAATTCTCTATGATCCCAAAATATGCTCGTAAAGCTTTTTAAGGTCAGATGGTAATTTCTCAATCTCATTAGACAAATCTTCCATCGTGCTAGTTCTGGAGACAGACCAAGAGCCTCTTCACGACCAGAACTACCCACAGGAAGACTCCGCAAGCCTTTGAAGTGACATATTCAATGATAGTAGTCGCAACACCACCTTCAGTAGTCTCCATTCCGAGTAGTACGGCATACGATCCAAGTTGATCCCAGGTAAAGCGTCTGATGTCATTACGGGTCAGATCCTGAAGAACAAATTCTGGAAAGCTCGAAAACTGATATACACAGACTGGAATCGGTCGACCGGAGGAGAGAATCTTGATCCCCTTTCATGCTGCTGTCCGGGAGAATAAGTCGCAGATATCATCGTGACTGCCACTATACTCAACTCATCTAGGCCATCAACGAAAAAGAATACTTTCTTGTCTTTCGGAGTTCGAGTTGCCAATTCAGGTAATCCCGGGAAGATCTCTGTCGCCAGTCTCCTAAAATCGCTATGATATCGCTCCGATTCATCGTCGGAGTAGTATCTCTTTGCCTGCCGGAGTATTTTCCTGGTGAAGTCAAGTAGCTGAGCGATGGCACTGGCAAGACCGAGTGCTGCAAGAGGCTCCATCTTAGTGTGGACTAATTGTGATCACATACACCTTTCTATCGAGTCCTCAGTATGGACTAAATGAGAGAGTGTAGATTCAGATACATTATTTTGTCAGGCTGAAAAATTTGGCCTCCACGATGCTTTGATGGAAAGACGCGGTGTGCATGAATTAGCGATGCTGCGGCGAGGCGTACCAACCGCTTTATTGCGCCCCAGAATTGAATTTGAGCCTATTGCGTCTCTGGCGCGTGCAGAACCGTCGTGCATGTGACAGATTTGCGTATATAACCAGTGACACCCGTTTTGAGGCCCTCATGCCCAAATACTACCAAAAGTCACCACTTGCATGATTGATCTGAACGACAACTATCACACCAAATAAATTGCGCTACGACGAACCTCTTGATAGTAACTTTTCTTGATCAGGGATTCTCAAGTTTATTCTTGTTAGTATATTATTCTAGTTGACAGTAAATTGATGTCGCGAATTCACGATTCCTCATCAAAATTAAGCGATTTTCAGCGATTTTAGTGATGGGCGAAGGGCGATCGCGTGCATCGAAGTCACTATGGGCAGGCGCTATTAGCTTAAAATATATCTACCTAAACTCACTGCTTACGTGCTATTCAAGGACGAAGCTCTTATTTGCAGACTGGTTTTGTTATAGAATACCTTATATTCACGAGGGGGCAGAACGACGTTTCAAGGTGAGGACGACAATAATGGCTCAAACATGAAACGGGGTGACTAGATTGGTACGGAAATGACTCAAGCTTCGATCTTGACCATAAAGCAGTAGATTGGCGACCCGCGCGGTGGAAAAGACGGCGAAAATTCCAGATCAGGTGTTTCCTACTAGCGAGGTGGTCAGATTAAACAAAATGTTTTCGAACAATATTAAAACAGTCGACGGTGTACTTCATTAGCTTTAAAAACGACAACACGTCGATCAAGTGATACTCAGAACCGCGAGATGTCCCTACCAAAAATCCAATTGATAGACCTAAAACAAGTCAGTCGAACATTTACACCATCGAGGAGATTCTGTTCACCAATAAATAGGAATCAACAACTTGTTCCTCCAACTGACCGTCTGCGTCAGATACGCTCCTCGCCAAATGATCCACGCCATTCTCCTGCTCCATATCAGCATATGCAGCATAGTCCCCAAGCAATCCTCTTCTTCTGCTCCTCCTCCAAACTGAAAAATAAAAGTAAGAACACATACCCCTTGACTTCCGTCCCACCGTCGGCTTGCA